GTTCCTTTCCATTCTTTGCAAACATTGTAGTTTTCTCATTTTCCTCTGGAACCTACCTTCAGGTTGAAGACTTGACATCACAGAAGCAGGGCCTGACAGAGGGTTTTATTTCTTCAGTTGCTGGCAGGCCATGCTCTAACATCGAGAGTAATAGGAACCACTCTCTTGACACACTTAGTTCTTAATTCTCACTTTCCCTGACATAACCATTCTTAGATTTGTAACTTCCATAGATAGTTAACCCACGTAATTTGATTCAGAGCTATATAGTATACTGTATAAATATAGTTTTGCATGATTTCAGTAATGAGTTTATTTAAAAGCACAGGATTTGAAATATGTGTCTTTATGGATAAAACAAGGTAGAATGTAATTGTATTTTATCTACTAATACATGATGATAAGCAATACTGTTAGGAATAATGATATACATTACTTTGCTTATGCCTGTGAATGTGACTGAGCAGTGATCATTGATAACTGGCTAATGAAAAAGTCATAAAAATTAAGTCTATGTTTTATTCATGAATTTGCCTATTTATTTAATATGTGTTTATTTAATGCCTGCTATATTTAAAACCTTGAGATAAGAGGACAGTGAACAGGGCAGGCATAGTTTTTACTTTCAGGGAGTTTTAGCCAGGGAGATAGACATTAAACATGAAAACAGGTATTATTTGATTGTAATTATAAAAATTGCATTACAGTAGAAGAATGAGTTGCACAAAGATTAGAAAATAGGGTGCTGGCTAAGGTTTATGCAGTGAGGGAAACTTGTAGGAGCCCAAGACTTCGTAAAATTAAGGGGGAAATTTTACTAAGAATGTCCTAGGCAAACAGAATAGCCAAGCCTTCAGACAGGAAGAGTAGTGAGATTGTGGACCTGAAAGGACATTAGAAATAGAGTCCAGAGTGCTTACTAAGGCATGTAAGCTCCTGCCTCTCTACACTTCATCTCATTTCATAAATCTCTACCTACCCCCAGCATCTCTACAGGTGATAGATAAGCCACATGATTGCTGAAATTATATAGGGATGGTAAAAAGAAAACTGGGGGAATAATAGAACCTTGAGACCTCTTGATCCTCAGAGTTTGAGTAAATTAAGGATACTCCAGCAAAGGAGTCTAAGAATAAGAACTCAGAGTGGCAGGAGGAACATTGGAAGCCAAAGGAGGTGACCAGACATGTCAGATGCTGCTGAGAAGTCAACCAAGTTTAAGTCTGGCAGGTTATTGGCCAGATTCAAGTTTCTGAATAGAAATGGATGCTGGGTAGAGAAGAAAAAAAAAAGATCAAGGGAGTGATGGGTATAGAGAAAGTAGAGGGATCAGTGGATCTCAGATCCCAGTGAGGTCCACGAATAGCCTTGGCAGGGATTGTGGTAAAAGCAGTCTTGGAGAAGGGAGATTTGGCTGGAGTGGAGAGAATAAACTTGAGGATAGGCGATGAAGTGAAAGAGGAACATATTTAATAATATTGGAAGTGGAAACATTTCAGGTGATTACAGTAGACTTCATTTGTGATCTTGGGACTGAAAGCATGAGGTAGAAAAATGAGAAATTCATTGGCAATAAGGAGATCCAGGGATAAATAAGATAGGATGTTGATGTAGATGTGGATATTGTCCAAGATCATGGAAATGCTGGGACTAGAAAAGACAACATTCCAGGTGCCAAAGCCTTTTCATGAAAGATGCGTAGAGATTAGTGGATAGATGATACCAACAAGAAGGGAGATCATCAAGATACCAACAAGAAGGATTAATCTAGCATAGCTAGATTAGACAGGAACATCAAAGCAGTAGGCATGTTTTGCAAGGAGGTAATGATGCAATGGACAACACTCAGGGGAAGGGGATCCTCCACTTAAGGGTAGCAGGGATGTAAAAGAATAAGCAGCTAGCATCATTCACAGAAGTGGTGTCTTCAAAGAAGAATGGGATTTTAGTCAGGGTGAGAAGGTAGAGACAATGTTCAGAAAAGAAGTTGAATATGTAGTGAAGTTTGCAAACCATAAAGCAAAGCTATCAAAACACAGTGGAAGAATTTGAGACATAGGAAAGGGAAGAGGGAAGAGAGAGAATTGAGAGTTAGTAGAGGGCAATTGGGCAATTAAGAATGAAACGTTGTGGGAATTTTATTGTAACGGAAAAGAGATGCCAGGGTATAATATGCAAACCCAGGGAACTAGAAGGAGCGGCCAGGTAAACAAGGAAGAGGGAGCGTGGCAGGGTCAGTAACTTAAGAGACACCCACCTTCCTTTACGTTAGGACCTCAGTACAGCAGCCTGGCTATAATATATAATGTAAAAGAGGAGTTGGAAAAACTAACAGGGTTTGCCTAAGAAGAGACTCCACTGTAGGCACTGTTTCCAGCAAAATTAGGTTCTTAATTACTGACACACTAATATGTTTATAAAATGTCCAGTCTGCCAGAGGTTTGCACCATGAAGCACAGGACCTTTGCAATACAGAAACTATTCTGAGCAAGGGGTTATTTTCTCTCTCAGGCATTCACAACAATCCTTTCATGTGTAAATAAGTTCAGCATTTCTTTCTTTTCAGTCTGAAATATATTAGAATACACATAGCTTGTATGAATTCTTAACTTTCCCTCAATGTTTTAATATTTTCAATTGAATTTGGTATGAACAAACATGAAGCTTATTCCTTCTGTATTGTATTGCTCAGTTCTGAGAAACTATGATTTAATACTCATGTCGTAACTTGAAATAATAATATATTTTTCAGAGGTATCTAATTCAGAATCAGGAAAGTAGTTGGATGCTGAAATCTGCTTCTTTCCAAAAACTATGTGATAATACAGGCCAGACAATAAATTTTTGAAATTACAGTGACTTAGGTTTTTACGGTTTGTGGAGGAGCTAAACATAAACAAGCAGGGTAGTTTAGTTCTAGTTAATATCAACACCCAAACACTGATCTTTTGAGCTGTCTCTTGTAGTATCACTAGGATCTCTTCCTTTGCCATTAGAAAAGGAATTTGAGAAATATCTGCTAATGACTTACCATACTCTATTTTAATTATTTGCACAAACAATGTAAGAAATTATGTTTGAATAATTTTGAGTCTGAGAGAATGTCATGTTGGATTTGTATTCTCACACGACATCCAGTATCTGGGATACTATAGATAAATGGTGGTTGAAGGTACCCGTCATCTATCAGCATACAATGCTGCATAACCGCCAGAAAAACATAATGGCATACAACCAAAAGCACATTCATTTTGTTCACGAAGCTGTGGAATTCAGCTGACCTGAGCTGATCTCAGATGATCTAGGCTGGTTTCACTCAAACGTCTCGGGCTCCTCTGGTTATTGGTTGCTTCAGCTTGGACAACTGGGGTGACCTAACTCTGCCCATCTTGTGTTTAATCTGTGGTCAGCTAATACAGGCATAGCCTCATGGCATAGTGGAAGTTAAGGAATGAACAGAAGAATTGTGCGAGCCTCTTTCAAGCCCCTGTGTCAATATCCTGTTGGGCCAGAAGAAGCCACATTGAGAGGTCAAATATCAGAGTAGGATAGCACTGCAAAATTCTATAGAAAGGACATGGATACAGAGACGGGTGAAGAGTGAGGGCTATCCATGCATCCAGTTCACTGCATTAAAAATCTCAAGAAATCGGGCCGGGCGCGGTGGCTCAAGCCTGTAATCCCAGCACTTTGGGAGGCCGAGGCGGGTGGATCACGAGGTCAAGAGATCGAGACCATCCTGGTCAACATGGTGAAACCCCGTCTCTACTAAAAATACAAAAAATTAGCTGGGCATGGTGGTGCGTGCCTGTAATCCCAGCTACTCAGGAGGCTGAGGCAGGGGAATTGCCTGAACCCAGGAGGCGGAGGTTGCGGTGAGCCGAGATCGTGCCATTGCACTCCAGCCTGGGTAACGAGAGCGAAACTCCGTCTCAAAAAAAAAAAAAAAAAAAAAAAAAACTCAAGAAATCAATCATAAAGAACACTGTCCAAGGTTCAGGCTCAGCACTGTTCACTTGTTAACTCAAGTGAATTATTTAATCATTCTAAAGCCTAATTTCCTTATTGGCCCTTCTCAAGCTTTAAAAGCCATTGGTTTTATAAAATTGAGCTTTTAATGGATTTCATGCTATATACAGTCTGTAAGAGAAACTTCACAGGAAAGTTGTCATTGTACTATCCTTTAGTGAGCCAACATGGCTAGTCTGAATGGCCATGATTGATTATCAAATATTGACGCATTCTGTAATATTATTCAAATTGATAAAATTTTAGTCTTGACTTGGTATGAATTAATTAAGTACTGGAAGTTGAATTTTCAATTGGAGTCTTCATTTTTTGCACCCATCTGATGATTCTTTTGAAGCATACAGTGTGTCAGTATAATGTCAAATGCTGTGACATCTCTTACATGTGAGATGAGCTATAGGGGCCATTGATGCTGTGCCATAATAATTCATTGTTATGATGAATTATTACTCTAAAATTGACTAGAGGAGCTTTGTCAAATTTACATAATGCTCATAAAACTGTGGGTTAATTTATAGTAAATGTTATGATTTGTTTTATATAAAGCATACAGATAATACAGAAATGAAATCTGCTTTAATTATATAATATGTAATTAGTAATAGATAATGAAGTGCTGGATTAGTTAACTATAAGAATAAAAACTAAGTAAAATTGTTCCAAATGAAAAATATTTTATAAGTTTCACAAGAAGAAAGTAATATACACAAATGGTCTTTGAAGTTGGTTTTCTATGCCTAAAATGACTTCTTATTCTAGTTACTTAGATTGCTTCAAAAATTGTACACCTAGATTTCCAAAATAAGTTGATGAACCTATAATTTGTAACTTCCTTTGACATGTCGAATGTTCTGTTTCAGACATAAATAAATGACTTGCCATGTGATAAATCGTTCATATCTCTGTGAAACATTTATTTTGGACTGATAATTTACTTGTAATATCAATCACTCTGACCTGTGTCATTTCAGCATCACCACGTAGACATATCCAAGAAACTTCACCAGAATCAAGCCGGCCTGGATTCAAAAGTACCAGTTGGTAGTCAGAATGATTTCGTGGATGTAGAGAATGAGAGGAGCAACTGTGGGGCCACAGCAGTAGCAGGTACTAACGTGACTACAAGTCAGTTCAACCACAGTGGTTTAACTGTCCACATGACAAAGGTGCAATGGACAGATTCTTACTGCCATTTTGTTTGGAATATATGGCTCAGCCAAAGTGACCACCTGCCCTGCAAATCACATTGAAATAAAGTATTGCATGAGGCATAATATTGAACACTCACAATAATAATAATGTTTATTGTTTTTCGTTATTAGATTTTTCACCTCATTTATGGTTTTCATGGCCAATGAAGTGTTTTAAGATTGCTTGTATTGTTGTGATAATAAAATTTTGATATTTTTTCTAGAACAATGAACAACAAGAATTACTCTCTTGAAAAGAGATTAAAATAATTGACATGCTTTAAATTTAAAGAAGTATCAGATAAGTCCTTGACTGCAAACTTGAATTATTATCATCTATAGAGATTGTGATCTGATATTTTTCATCTCTACTGAGGGCAAAACAAGAGCAAATGGACTTGCGGAGGAGTTGATAGCATTCAATTAAGCTACCCAGACTAACTTCCATATGGCAGAAACTTGGGATGAGATAGCAAGGGAAATAAGAAGTTTGTTTCTTGCCAATATTTTAGATACACCAAACCCCCTCAATTTCTATTACACTTTGTCTTTGAAACTTCACATTTAGTTCATGGGAAAATTGAAACTGTAATTATTCTTAAGCATACGGTTTGTTCCTTTCTCCTCCTTATTTGGTTTTGTAGCTAGCACGCTTTCTTCTCCAAGGACATGTAAAAGTCAAAATACTAGATATAAAGTCTCTGAAGTGTTCCTGCTCCAAACCCGGTCTGCACAATCTGGGTTCTTTCATGTAGTTAGCTTACAGGCTTCTGACACTCCTATAAAAATGTCCCATAGATCTTTTCTTATTACCTTTTCATTGACTCTCTTCGAGTGAGAAAAATGAAATTCTGTAAAGGGCTTTGAAAACCATGCATATTGCAATTCCTCCAAATTTCTAATACTAATCAAGTGTGACTATAAAAGAAACAACCACTGCAGTGAAATTGCTGCAGCGTGTAGAGTCTCAAGCCATTATTAATTCATTGGAAACTGATTTTTTTTTCTTTTTCTTTAAGATTGTGGATTCTAAAAAGTACCAGATAACACAATTCCTGAGATCAAAGTTTTTGTTTGAATCAGAGGGAAATGTTACCTAATCTTCTCTTGTATGTGAATCTTTCGGGCATGGTACAGCAGTAGTCCCAGCTTCGTGCCCTGAGTGAGTAGTAAAGCGTATGTTACAGACCAGAGCAGCACCTGCTTTGAACATATTACTTGGAAGTGATGATTTTAGAGACAAGGATGACCTGGAATTAAAGCAGTGGTTCTAGGCAAATGAGACTCCTTAACTTCATTCAAGAGAGTAAAATGGAATCTCCTTTCCTAAATCAATTTGATTTTAACATCCATTTATTTAGAAATTACCCAGTATGAACTTCTTGGCAATATTTTTATTTGCTTTCCCATTTGTAAATGCAATAAATTACCGTCTCTCTTCATTATGGATTAAATTGTGTGATAATTCTATATATAAAAATGCAAAAGTAGAGTAGAGCAAAAATATAATTTTTCAAACTTTATTTTTATCTTATATAATATAGTGTATGTTCTTCATTTCCAAAAAGAAAAGACTCATTGGAGCCATACTTTACACTTACCATACTTCATGTGGATAGCTCATGGATTATGTAGTAGCCTCCTTTGAGTTCAGGATGGGTAGATTAGGCATTTTCTGAGCTTTCTCCTCTTTCTAATGCCTAGACGTAAGTCAGTCATTTCCTAAATTTTCTTTGATGAGAGTAACAGTTGCAGAGACTTTATAGCATATCACTGACTTAAAAAAAAAGAAAAAACCTAATTAAGATAGGGGTGCTGCTTTCCTTTTCTAGCATTGCTCTTTCAGGGACCCAGACCTAATTCTTTCAGTTAAATGGTGTGGAACCTTTTCAAATATGTATCTAATAATTGTACTAAAGGGAATTATTTATCTTGGTATTCAATGTCAACAACTAGAATTTTGCTGTGAATGACTGAACATGAATTGTGTAATAAGACTCTATTCCAGCCAAGAGTACAGTAAACCCGCACTCAAGATCAATGCTGCCAGCCACTGATATCTTCGCTAAGAAACTGATGAAAACATTTCACTAGATAATCTAGATGACCTTCTTCTGTGGGTCCCTGATTCACTCTGGTTGCTTGGTGATGCCCATGCCTTATTTTAAAAACATTATTATTAATTCTACATGTTATTTTATTCATAATTACTAAAAAAAATAGTTCTCTGAAAGCAGGATGATTAAGTGATAGAATGACAAAGGGTACACCTTTAGAGACAGAACTGAGATTTCTGAGTTTACATTTTGGCTCCCCCATTAGGTAACCATGTACCATGAGCAATTTGTTAAAAAGACTATTCCATTATTTGTAAAATTTAGTTACTGGTAGTGCTATACCATGGGATATTTTCTAAAGATTATATTAGATCAAATAGGTAAAAGTTAGTATAGTACATAGTAACTACAATGAAGTCAAGCTGCAATAATTAACTACTGAGTCTTTACAAATTGATTGCTAAGGGAAATTTTGTTTTCCTACAGTGTGCTCTGTAAATTGCTGGCTGTGGCCACTTGATGTTATGGGTCCTTCAGTCTCTTGAGTTTCTGTTTGTATTTTTTTGCCTTTGAGGACAGTATATTCTTGGAAATGTTGTGGCCTTCGTGAATGCTATGAATATTGGAAAGGATGAGAAACCCTCTTTGTTAATGTCATTGATTCCTCAGAGTAAAAGAAACACTGCAATTGTTTAGCGACATGGATGTCCTGACTCTTTCTGATGGACTCTTTCCCCATCTTACCTCAGCAGCAGTAGCTGAGGACGAGCACAGGACTTCAATGTTTATTCAGCTTAAGGCCTATTTTTAGCTGATAGCATGTGTTAAGTGGAAATGTTTTCATTGAGTTAGTTATTTGTTGCATCAGTTATGGAAAATTGATTGGGAAGTGGTCTCAGGAACACTTGAGGCAGAGTCCCAGAAGCAGGTCTGGGCAGAGGGAGAAATTGAACCATGATACAGTCACAACAAAGACCTCAACTGATCCTGTAGGGAGCTCTGGAATTGGCATGGCTCTTTAAGGTTGTCCTGAATTAGAAAGTGGGGAACAGAACTTTATACCCCCTGCATCAAACAATCATCAGATGCAGCTGTCCCTGAGAAGGGTCTGTGGTTACAGGCAATGTGGCTTTTTAGCCAAGGGCACAGCCATTTGGTATAAGAGGACGATTATTTAGTTCTGAGGCAGATCTGGGTATTATGTGGGTCACTCATTAATTGCTGACATTGCTTCTGGTTATCTTCCTGGCTAAACAGGGGGCCATTTTCCTTTTTCCTCCTTATGTCTCTCTAGAAACTGAAATCTTTGCCAGGAAGGATGACCTTTTAAATATGCTTATTTGTTTTTGCCCTACATAAACATAAATGTTTTCTAGTGAGCAAATTTTGTACTCCCCCGATCCATGTTTTCTAATGTAATTTTCTTCCTTTTGTAGCTTTGACTATGTTCTTTGAATTTTCCTACCACCTTACACTAAATCTGTGCTACTGCTTGTCCTTCATAAATTAGACTTGTCGAGTAGTAAGAAAAACCCTAGGCTAGAAAATGAAACCCAGACACCCCACCAAAATAATGGGTACACCAGATAATCTGTATGCCCTGTCGGTTCTGAAAGCCTGTGATCCTATGGGTTATTCTGAGTTAGAGCATTGAAATTGTTAGGCTCAAAAGGTCCTATCTCTAAGAGAGACTCACATACAGGTGATTGACCACATCTAAGATCCTACTTAATTTGGAAATTAAACAGGTCAGAAAAAACAAACTCCCGGGGAAAGCTCTCCACTTAGGCCAAGGCGGAAGCTAGGGAATAAAGAATGATTCCGTAGCTTTAGTTTAACCCAAATGTTTCATGTAAACTTCAGATCTTATTTGTATCATGGAAAATAAAACATGAGTCAGTTCCCTATCAGGACCATTTTGAGGATTAGACAAGTCAGGGGTTCTATATTAAAGACCTTAATTGAATGGCTGATTATATGTAATCAAGAGGCAGGTAGTTTAGATCATAAAACACATTGCTGTTTCTTAATTTTAATGAAGAAACACCTCAATAATTCAATGTTATTCTAAGTAGTGTTCTAAGTGCAAAAACTACCTGATACCAAAGTCTAGAAAACCTGTTATTAAAAATATTGCATTGTTTTCAAGTGATGATTTAAAAATCTATCCTTTCATCTTTATATTTAACATCAATGCAGCTTTTTCATAATATAAACAAAATAATGATTTAGCAGAATTTATTTTACATTTCTAGATAATGCTATTTTAGTTTGGAAATACTGATACCCTAAAAAAAAATTATAAGATCGCTCTTCGTTTTATAGCAAACAATCTCCCTCTTCTCAGAAGATTTAAATGTTTAAGAATGTGCTGCAAGGAGAACCCAGTCATTTCATTCTTTGAACAATTCTGAAATATCATTTCCTATTAGGCAGTTGTGTGAGCACTGACAGCCTGGCCCCTCTTCTTCCCTAGAGATTAATTTATTTCTTGCAGTGCTTGCTCTTCATGGAAATCTTACTCGTAAGCCTTCACCAATGGGAGATCTCATCAGCAGAATGTTAATTATAAAAGCAAAACTGTGTACCATATTGAGTGAGAAAAACAGTTCTCTAGGCAAAGCAACCTTTTTCTTTTCTTGTTACTCTGCTCTCTGCTCCATCTAGGGTTGAACAGAAATATTAACCCCTGGGAAAATATTCCACGAGGTGCTGGGGGATGGTAGAAAATGCAAATTTTACAATGAGACAGACCCAAGTCTAAGCTCTAATTCAAAGAATGTCACACTTGTTTGTGACTTTGTTTACTTATCTTTACAATTAGAATAAACATACTTACCTTACATGAAAGTTCTTGTGCTTTAAACTATCACTTAAT